TGTGTGTGTGTGTGTGTGTGTGTGTGGGGGGGGGGGTCTCTCACCTTGTGCAGTGTGGCCAGGGAGGGCTCAAGCGGCACCGCTCCGCTCAGCAGTGGCTTGGGCGCTCGCACCTCGGGGGACTCCTCCACCACACGCTTGCGCTTCTTGCTGGGCGGCGCTGGGGCAGGTTTAGGGGCCGGCTGCACGGCATGATGGGAAACCAGCTCAGAGCGGCGGTTCCGACCCACCGGGCTCCCCCCCAGGTAACTAATGTGCGTTTCTGGTTACTGGCTGATCACAGCCTCTCCGTGCCAAATCCCACACTACCGGTGATCTCTAATCATCATCGTTAAAAAATCGTTTTAGTCTTATTTTCACCATTAAGGGGATCTATAAAGGCAGGAAAACGTTCCTGAAATTTGTATCTGAATTAGCCTTTAAGTTATTTAATCCTGAATGTGCCTGTCGACACATTTCACACCTTTATCTGTTACCCCCACGGCTGTGCTGTCAGGCCTGAGAAATAGCCTTCAGTCCCTCATACCTCCTCCTGAATAGGCACTCGCTTGGCATGCTAATTGTGCCATTATTCCCACCCACCCCCCATCCTTAAACTTCTAGACTCAGCCACCAGCCCCCAGAGCCCCCTTCCTGCCTCGTTCCTTCCCACGTACCTGCAGCACATGCTTGTTGTCCTTGGACTGCAGAACGGCCGAGACGGTTGCCACGGAGATGCCAGGCTTAATCTCCGAGGGCACCAGGGACTTGGCGAGCTGGGTGGGAGCAGAGTTTGGGAGTTTCGGTGGCTGTTATGTTGAGCATACTGGAGCACCCTGGGTGTGAGGCCTTGGTCAGGCCTGAGTAGGAGGGTTAGGGGTCACTGATTAATGAAGCCCTGGCGGAACGAGGCATCGGTGCAGACAGAGAGGAAGAGACCGTGAAGAGTGTCTCACACACACACAGACCTGTACTTATATCTTTGTGGGGACCGACCATTCATTTCTATAGGCAAAAACCAAATCCCAGCAATGACCATCTTAACCCAGCCCTACCCATCCCTAACCTTAACCATAAGGAACCAAACAGAATACATGTCTTTTGCCATTTTTAGTTTTTTTGAGTGCAGTCACAGATTTTTATAAAATTGAATTTCCTCTTGTGTGGACTGAAAAAATGGTCCCCACAATGTCAAAATAACAGGTTTTTGATCACACTGAGGGGATGTTTGGTCCCCACAATGTAATGTTTACCTGGACCACCTGAACTGAAAGCCACATACATACAGTACATACATACATGTATAGAGCCACATAATACACAGCATACACACACATGCACACAGTCACACGGTCACATACATACAGAGCCGCATAACACACAGAGTCCGAGTCACAGAGTCTCACACACATACATGCACAGACACACAGAGCTGCTGCTCCAGTCTCCCATCTGCTGTTATGTGAGCTCCTGGGCTTGGAAACTGTCACCCATTTCTCAGACTGAATGTCTCGCATAATCGGGTTTCATCCTCTGTCAGATGAACTCTCCTCCATTCCCTGCCCCCAACCCCCACCCAGCACCCACCTCAGGCAGCAGCTGGATGCGCTCGTACCGCCGGCGGAAGGGCAACCCCAGCACGGAGCAGCGGCGGTAGGGCATGGGCGGGAGCTGCAGCTCCAGCATGAGGTCAGAGCGGTGGACCTGCGTAGGCGGGGGCTGGGTGTACTGCTCAGGGCATACCACGTGCAGCGGCTGCGGGGGAGAGGCGCAGAGGATTGTGGGAAGAAGGAGTAAGCGGGGGGGGGGGTTAAAGGTAGAGACGTTGTAGTAAACAAACATAAATAAACAACAAACATATCACAGCTATTACAAGCAGAACGGCCAAGGGAAGATAAGGCACCTGGACCTCCTTCAGCAGCTTGGGCACTTGGTGGAAATTGAGGCGGGTATCGATGGGGCAGTACACACACTTCATGGCCAGCGGCTGGTAGGGGGCTAAGGCATCCAAGTAGGAGAAATCAGGCTCTGCGGGGGGGGGAGTGTGGTTAGTGTCCCCGTCTCTCTGCATATCGGCGTGCCACATGTCACATTCCGCCGCGGAAGCTGCTTTTCATGGTTCGCGAAGCTCACTTGGAGCAGCAGGAATCCATTTCTGCACCATTTCTGTTTTTCTAGGAGGCGGGGGGACCTTTGCTCTGAGAGGATCGGCATCATGGATAACAAAGCGGTCACTCTGTAGAGCTGCCATCTACCGCCTCCATATAACAGAGGGAGGGGGCAGCCAGCTTCTAGTTAAGTGCCTATTTTCAGGCCTTTGGCGAGAGCCCCCCTCCTGCGTACCGACCCATAAACCTTTGCCGGCCCTCCCCCGGCAATCGGCAGGTCAGCCCGCCCGCCATATGGCGGCCTCTCACCGGTGAAGATGATGGTGTTCAGGCTGGACTTGCCCCAGAGCTCCACGAAGTGCACGGCGTCTCCGAAGCGAAGTGACGGGTGGCCTGTGAAGACCACACAGGGCTGACGGAACTCGGCGCTGAAGTCGCCGTGGATGCTGGGGTAGTGTTTCAGCTTGTTGGTCTGGATCAGCTGCAGGGAAGGGCGGGGGGGTTTATGTAAAGGGGCACCGGAGCTCGCTCTGTGCTCACTGTACATTCTTCAAGCTCGACTGAAATCAAATTTGAATTTATGAATAAACTCCCCATTGGTGCCCTTTAGCTGCTCGCATTAAGTACAAGACCTTGGTGCTGGCTATGGTCAGCTAGCGAAGGTCACCAGTTGATTTTTTTCACCATATAAAGTCAAGTCTTGTATGTTTTCATCCCTGGCCCTCTGATAGTAGAACAAGTTATCGCTCAACTAGCACTTTGTGACCCACATCTTCTGGAAACACCTCAACCAAGGTCATCCTACCCCTGACCCGGGCTGGCTCTCTGACACACACATTCAAGATGGCCGCGGCCTTTACCAACAGAAGTGAAAGCCGTCATTTTATACTGTTTATTAGCACTTGAGTCTTATTTGTGGCTCATTAAATCAGTCGTATACACAGTAATGTCCATTCGCTACCTGTGAACGTGTTGCTACGGTGTTTCATGCACAAAATACCGCGCAATGTGGCGTTAGCCACTGATATTGATAACAGTGGCTTACAATTTAAAAACTGGGGCTTGTTTCATTAAGCAGGATTTCTTGCTTAAGCAGACAACTTGTCGGATTTAATGTAGTCTGTGCTAAATGTAAGTGAACGAAGATATAGGCCATTTAAACTGGGGTGAATTAAATCCAACAAGTTATCCGAGTAAGAAAGAAATCTTTTTGAAACGTGTCCCTGGTATTGCTACATGGTTTTCCGACTACTTGTACTTGAACGCCATTAGCTTGTATGTGACGTCACTGTCAGCTCCAAGCTCGACCTATTAGGTTAATGGGCCGCAGCATTAGCTTGGTGTTATTTATTTGATTAGCTTTTCTGACATTATGCGCCATGCTGTGATGCAGAGTTTCTCAAACCAGTCCATGGGGACCCTCACCCAGCTCCTGCAAAAACATGGACTGTCTGAAGGTGCCTGAGGACTGGGTTAAGAAACACTGATGTGATGCACAATTCTTGCTCCCTCCTGCACTTGTTACTCGTCATTAATTGGAGGCCAATCCTAACTGCTCCTGTACCAATGCTGTCTACTTGACTGCTGTATGCTTGTCTTGTATCATCTGCCCCAATTGTACATCAGATTGGACAAAAGTGTCTACTAAATAAATGTCAACGTAAACTATTGATTTGCAGCTCCGCCATGCCTATATTCTGGATTTCCTTGCCAACATCTTCAGACGCCAAACCAGCAGGATGCCTGCCTGTCCACCATCAAACCCCAAAACCGAAGGACCCCCCTCACCTCTGCATGAGGAAACGGCGGCTCTGGAAGGTAAACCTTGGATTGCTTGTTTTGGCAGAGCCTGGGAAACAAGTGGGAGACGTCGGAGGGATCAGGTGGTGAGCGGCGTCAAACGCGACACAGGAAGCAGCGAGTCACACGGCGGACGCACCACTCGGCGAAGATCTGCGAGAATTCCAGCGAGCTGTTGGCCACGGGCGAGATGAAGTAGAACGGCGTGGAGCCCAGGTTGGCCGAATCGATGAACTGGTACAGGCACTCCAGCAGGTCGTAAATCACCCCCGACGGGTAGCAGGGGATCAGCACGTTGCCCCCAGCGCGGATCGTCATGGCTACAGAAGGGAGGGCGTCACAGAGAGACTGCTTACAATGTGTGAGAGAGAGCCAGTGACAGTCACATGTTAGTGACAGCTCCCTAACCAACAAGATATTTCTGCAGGAAGAGAATATTCTCAGCCCAATCCTAGGTTCTAACTACCACCATGTGGGCCGATAGAACTAGGCCCGTATCCAGGCAACCGCTTTGCTAATTTATTTTTATTTTTTTTTAAATACCATTTGCTGAAGTTTTTTTAATCACAGAAAATACATCTAAAAGCCAGGTCATTGTTTTATAAACAAGGCCCAAATAAAAACCAACAGGGCAGGTCTGGGTTACAGGCTGTCCAGTAAGTGAGTCTCTTCCCAATGGCAACCTTTCATTCTGTATATCAGGCATCTCTCTGGAGAACTCATCACAAAATAGCTTATGGGAATTTTATTTAAACAGAAATGTTCTGAGGCCAGAAGGAACGGTGACTGGTTCAGAGATATAACCAATAAAATTGTAGAGGAGGTGGGTCCAAGCAACTAAAGAAGGCAGGACCAAGACGTCTGATTGGTTGGTCCCACCTCTTCTAGCTGCTTGGACCCACCTCCTTGGTTCTCTCTCAAACATTCATTGTTCCTTCTGCCCTCAGAACATTTTTGTGCAAGTAAAACTCCCACGAGCCACAAAGTAGTTCAGTTACTAATCCAGCACAAACCTGATGTAGTCTACAGGCAAATGGATAAGGACATAGAAGAAATGTCTGCAGAAAGTCCCAGAAGATGTAGGAGCCTTATTAAACAAATCAATGTTACATAATCATCTGGAACTACACTGATGGTGGGTGGCGCTGGAGGGCGTGACCTTTACCCAGATTGCTGCAGAACTCTCCCAGCATCCCATCTGGGTTGGCGGTCGGGATCTGGGTGAGGCCAGTCAGAATGAGGACGTCGCTGTTCTTCAGGGAGCTCTGGTCCATGGGCTGGGAGGGAAACGCAGCAGTGCTTAGACTTGAGCCCACTTCCTCCTCTGGAGCCGAAAGCAGTGAGTGGGACAGACTGCAGTAACAGCCAGACCCAGCAGGCAAGTGCCCTGGCAGTGAAGGACCTACTGCTTATCCTTTGATTCTCAGGATCCCTAGTTTTCCCTACATTTTCATTAGCCTTGTCTGTTGATGGACCCAGCAACTTACTTGGGGGTGTGTCGTAAGGAGGGAGGAGCCAGAGACATAGGCCACCTTCTCATAATGTGATTGGATGATCCAGTTAGAGCTGCCCAATGAGTAGCCTGAGCTGAGGGGCGTGACTTGCACAGCACCAAACAACTCCTAGGGATTGAAGAGGACAAACTGAAACTTTACGACATGAAATACAGCCAAATACAAGAGTTGACAACTTAGGACAATGTATATACAGCTAGAATCCATTTTGATTACTCTCAAAGTATTTGCAAAATGCAAATGTCAAACTGTGATTCAGTTGAGAGAAATCAGGATCAGGGTGTACAAAGGCATGCCGAGCGATTCAGGCGCTGGAGGTCGGAGGGACACCCACCACTTTCTGAGAGTAGCCAACCAGCTGCACCTTGCTGAGGGCCGAATTGACCTCTTGCAGGCTGTAGCAGCGTTTCCACGTCCAAACATCCACGGCCTCCTTCAGGGGTCCGGGGAGAAGCCTGAAGGCACACAAGCCTACCCTCAGTGTGCCTCACCAAGTCTTCATGCCCACACGTCAAACCACACCAGCCCACAAACTCCGCCCAGACCTACAGGGTTTCACTGGGATTCTCAGACCTTTCTGTAGGATAAAGCACATCTGACAGTTCATTAGCCCGTCCTTTAGAACAAGAATACATCAAGCGAAAGCTTATGGGAACACGATACAGATAATTAACTAATTAGGGGAATTTAAGCAGGTAAATGGGATGGAACGTGAAAGCACAAATGCTTTCACTCCCAAAAAAAAAAAAACCAGCAAACATTCCAGCCACTAAGCTTCTCGTTAAAGGCCAACGACACCCCACCCCTTTAAACAGAGTGTTTTTGTACAGTTCCAGGTTTAATAGAGTTACATGTAGTCTGAAGCTCCATCTGATTTAAGTCACACACAGCACAGTATTTTTGCTGCAGAAACTGGACCCACTCAGCTCCAACAGGATAAGAGTAATGGCATGTTTTTCCTTATACAGATTTTTAAATATACGTCTTTGTATCAGCATCTGCTGTCAGAGTTGTGTTATTCTTGGAACATATTCCATTATGAAACATACGCAGTGCTGCAGTCTGCACTGTGCCCATTTATAAGTTGTGCCATAACAATGACCCAGTGCAGAAACAGCCGTCAATTCTGCTTCATTCATACTCCTCTCATTCCTGAAATTCCATTTATAACATGTGCTGTCACCTGGAAACCATTGGCTAAATATGACAATTGTTAATTTAAAAAAACAAAAAACAAAAAAAAAAAACACAGCTTAACTTCATGAACCCAACACTTCAACTTAAAATACCTTTGTATTTCTTTGTTCTTCCAGCAGGTGGCAGACTGTGCCTTGGGGACTCTTTCCATGAAGTTGACCAACTCCTCCATCAACAGCCTATGACAGAAACAGAAACAGGCATGAGAAATCTCACAAGTTACCAGTTTGCCATTGCGAGGGTCTGCGATCTGCCAGGCAGAGCGACACGACACAACACGACACAACACGACACGACACGACACGACACCTTGTAAAGGGCCTCATTTACCTTGTTTCAGGACCTGCAAAACTTACGCTGTCAGAAGACCTGACAGAATGACTGCGCAGGTGAACACAGGTGCATCAAGCATCAGTAGTGATTCAGAAGCAGGTGTTGAGAGCTTCAGGATTGCATTATTACAAGTTATTAGTACAATGCCTTCAAATGAGAATGTGGGAATTTAGCAAACTGGGCACAGGGGGATAAAGTCAGGCTGACAAAACTGACGTCCACCTCAGAAGTTTAATATCAGTCGATCCCATGGCTGTACTCCAGGAACCCAGCCGCAGTCTCTGGGGGATGGAGTGGGGTGGTTACAGGTTATTGACAAAGCGGTGCTTTAGAGGTGCTTTGAAAGGCAGCGATCCTGCAATAATCAATCCGCCTTCCATCCCGGGATGTAAACGTTTCACCGTCTGCCTTTTCCGAGACGTCGAAAAATCCTTAAAAGGTGCCTAAAATGGCTACATCCGCACCGACCTTTATCATCAATCAAAATCATGAAAGACCACAGAAAAAAAAAAAAGTATCCAATAGAGCACAGGAATAAACAATGGCACACCTATCGGCCAATCGCAAAGCACCATAGCGACTGGAAGAAAGAAGGAAAAGCAATGTCACACCTATCAGCCAATCATAAGAAGCCAAAGTGACTGAGGAAAAAAAGGAAAAGTAATGCCACATATATCAGCCAATCACAAGAAGTGAAAGTGACTGAGGAAAAAAAGAAGGAAAAGCAATGGCACACCTATCAGCCAATCACAACAAGTCATAGTGACTGGAAAAAAAGAGGAAAAAGCAATGGCACAGCTATTGGTAATTCACAAGAAACTATAATGACTGGGCAAGAAAAAAGAGGGAAAAGCATTGGTAAACCTACTGGCCAATCATAAGAAGCTATAATGAGTGGGGGAGGGGAGGGAAGAGGATGGAGCAATGACACGCCTACCGGCCAATCTGCAGGGTGGGCTCCGTGGCATATACAGTGCCAGTGAAGCCAGGGTGCTCTGTGATGTAGGGTAGGGCCATCATGCAGTGGTAGTTGGAGATCAGGATGACATCAATAGTGGACAAGTCCAGCAGCTCTCTCTGCAGAGGAAGACACAGGTGAGAATGGATATCTTTGACCTGTCACCGTACCCCTTGTTCTTATACTATGTGAAGTCCCCCCCAACCTTGTCAGAAGAAACAAAAAAAATGGCTATCTCGGTCTTCTGCCAAGCCCCCTGAATCCAGGCCACATGGCGTCTCAAAGTCAAGCCTCTGAAGACAAATCTGGAAGAATGCTGATGAAGCAGCCAGCTCTGCAAGATGTCAGGCTCGCTTCTGAAAGCAGGGACCTGCCTGCCCTGCGATTACGGGACCGGTGAAAAATTACCCATGTAACATGCTCTTGCTAGTGCCAGATCCCACAGCCGAATGTTCATCCACAACTAAATGTTCTCACATTGGCAATCAGATCCTATTGGTGCTCCAGTATTTGATCGTGGGAGTGGTGAAACACCACTGCTCGCTCACCTCTGGCAGACAGAACTCCGGCAGAGAGTCCACAAACACGCGGCCTGCACACTCCTTCAGCTCCTACAATCCAGGGGAGGAGGAGGATCAGTTGAGGTACATGGTAGAACCCACATCCGGCTCTAATGCGTACAACTGCTTAATGCACGGACTTACTTTTTCCAGTGCAATAGTGCCATCTTTAGACACCCATCCAGGGAGTTTGGATAATCTCGGGCTGTAAACACAGGACAGCCAAATTTCTGTATGTAATAAACTAAAGCAGTACTTCTCAAACTGGTCCTCAGAGACCCCCAGAGAATATAGGTTTCTGCAAAAATGTGGACTGTCTAGCAGGGACTGGGAGGGAGCAAAAACATGTACTGTCTGGGAGTCCCAGAGAACTAGGCTGACAAATACTGTTCTAAAGAACAAACAACATATTAACAGTGAAAGCACATTATAAAGCATTATACTTATAAAACGTTTACACTGTGTGGGGATGGTAAAAATAAGAGAGAACATGCAAGGGGGTGACGCTTCACATGGGGTACCTATGCCATGCTATATGGCCACCTCTCTCACCTGTGTACCAGGGGCAGTGGGAGAAAGTGTAGGGCTGATGTCATGTCCAAGCCACAGTCCAGCATGATGGTAGTGGATTTGAATTTGAGGACATTGCATGGCAACGTTGGGTGGCCTGATAAACAATACTAACACCACAGACGAATTAATGATTGTTTTAACTGTCAAGCTGAGGATCTTAATTATTGGCTTTTGGTGTAATACGGGAGATAGTAATACAGGGTAGATATCATATACCAAATGCATTCAACAAATATAACATCGTTTTCCAGCTGACAAGTAACCGTCATTCTACAGAACAAATCGTATTAAAAATTTATGATGACGTGTTTTGTAATAAATGGTTTATGCACAGACAAGTCATTGATCTAAAAACTGATCATTGTTTAGTCGCCTACGTTTTCTCTTTAATGGTTATCAATTCGATTTACTAGCCCAAAATATAAACCAAGTATGACTGTTAACTTAAAATGTTAATACAGGAAGCTAATATGATCAAAGCACACAGTGAAGTTCACACATTAACTAGCTTACTAGCTAAAATGCATCAACGTCATTCATGGTTTGTTTTACAATGAATCAGCAAATCTATTTTATTAGACGAAATAACATAACGTTACACAATACAGACGCATATACAAAAAGAAAGGTAACTCACCAATTTCATATTTCCAAATGAATATATTCAGGTCATCGAGCAGACTGTTTCTACTTTTCGATCTGCTGTCGTAAAACCATAATTTCGGTGCAATTTTCGGCCTATACAGCGGTGCTGGGATTTGTAGTTTCTGTATGTGGCAGGCGAGTACTGAGAGGCAACTAGTTTGGTTTGCGGTCGAAGGGAATTGTAGTCTTTAACGACCCTGTATTCCCCCCCGACTCCCCGTCCCCTTCAAACCTTAGAAAGAACTACCAATCCGGCGCAATCATCATCATCATCATCATCATCCAGCTTTCTGATGTTCATGTCAATATGGCTTCTGTCAGACAAAGACAAGTCAGTCTCGCCTCTGACTGAAATCAAATAAGGCCGGAGGAATTTGAGAGAAAATACTGGCGCATGTTTAGTGTTGGCGAAACGGAGAAAAGGGAGTTATTGTGGGTTTACTGTATAATCCACGTATTAAATGGTGTGGTGGACAGAGGCCCTGACTGGATTCACTGTTAAAGGTAAGAGCTGCTGGAAGATTAATATTACTGTTAGCTTACCGTGGGTAGCCAGCTAACCAGCAGGCGGGCCCGACCAGGTAAGCTAGTTAATCATGTATTTTCAGGGTGACGGGACAATCTTATCTGAAATGCATATCTTAATCGGGAAAATAAATATAACTGTGGAAAGTGAACTGCGTCCGACTCAATGTCGATTGCTTAACTAGGTAGCTAGAAGAAGCTCTGTACATAGTTAGCCGGGTCAACGTGCGCACAGACGGACAAACTGTACTAACACTTAACCGAGAGTCCGTTTCATTTCGCCTGCACGGAAAACTACCGGGCACGATGTGAGGTTGTTGATCCCCGGGCGAATCCGTTCAACCAACTACTACAGCTGCCTGGTTATAGGTGGGGACCAGCTAAGTTAACTGAACAGTCTGACTGGGTATGAAGGACGCCGACCGCCGCCGTATGCACCCCGCCAGCGGACTGCTCTTGGGGACATAAAGTGGGCGTTATCCGACGTCTTGGCATTACTTTTAACTTTTGCGATTAACACCCAAAAGGGGCATTTTCGTTAATCAAAAAAGGGGAAAATGTTGGCAGTTGTATTTATTTGATTAGTTTTGCACGGCGGCCGGAGCACTATGGGCGTTTCTGGGGTATATACTGTACAGGCACTTATCTGAGTACATGCGCAACGTGCAGGACTAATGCGCCGCTTTGTGTTTAATGCACAGCTCCGGTTGCACAACAGGTTTAGATTAATATGTAGGGACTCCACATTACACATCATTTTTTGTTCATATAAATACAGACACTGTTTGGGCTTTTACTGTGGTGAGAAGCTACAGAGCAGCTGAAATGATCCTGAAGATGACCCCTGCATGCACATGTAACTCGTGCATTACGAATTAAGCTTCAGTTTGAGGTTTAAAATGCGTCAATGGGACCTGCTTGTGCACAGTACAGGCTTTTAACGCATGCGTAAATATCTTGTGTATTTTTGTGTTTTATGCATGCCGTAAATACACGATGACTGTAATATATGGTTTTCTTAAGGATTATTTAGTTTGTATAATGCTGACCTGGTCATGTTATGAATCTAGACTATAAATTGCTAGCACGCGATCCCTTTTTCAAATATGACGAATTATAAAAGTTTTGACATGTAAACCCAGTTAATTGTAATTTACTCCAATGACATGTAACACAAATAACGATGAAAAACGAACAGTGAGATGCAAGTCTTCCATTTTTCCTGAGTGGATGTGATTTTATTTATATCTGGTACAGTTTTGATTGACATTTACAGCAAGACACAACCGGAATGTCCGGAGGAGATGACCTAGTCTGTAGACATTTATCAAATGATTGAGTGAGTATTTTTGGTCTCTCACGATAAATCCCACCGCTTTTAGAGGAGCCTAAATGCCTATTTCTCAGAATGTTTTTTAGACAATGCAACATTTTCTGTTTTATCTCAGAGGGGATTAACATGATAATTCCGCTGTAGAAAACAGATCAATTAGATAGCTGGTGTGTGATTTTCATAAATCATCCACCGGTTTCTCCATGGCAGACAAACATATAAACACATGAACAGCAAATGAGCTTCCAGTTCACCCAGAGAGCTTGTGTTTGGAACAACCTGCAGCTTCTGAGAAGTGAGGCTATAGTCAGACGCCGTGCGGCTCCCGTAAATGGGCGGTTGGTGTGCTAGTCAGCCCTCACGCATGATGTCGACGGGCTTCCTGAAAGCTCCTGTCAGCTGGGCCATGCTTTGGGTTGTACAAGAAATGTGGACTTATAACTATGACCAGTCAACTGGAGATGAAGGCTCTGCCGCTGACGCTCTCCCTTCCTGTGATGAGACCCAGGATTTTCACCTTCATACTTAAGGGTGTTTCAACCTGCACTCCAACAGGAAAGTCACATTTATGGTGCCTAGAGATGGCAGCCTGGAAGTGTTCATTTTATATCTTGCACTCATTTTCATATGGCGTACAAGTTTGAACGAATATAGACTTTGGAGGAATTGGGCTTTTGGACGGAGGTGTGATGGTTTGATCGGAAGCTGTAAGACGCCTAAGCTTGTGAATATAGAAACCCATAAATATATCCATCACTGTACAGGATGCTTGATGTGAAAGCCTATACCTGGAGAGACAGCATGTAAGACAGATGTTCTTCAGGCAGGACTTAAACAAATATGTGAATCTCTGCTTTCACATATTATCTAAGTGTGACTAAACGCACATTTCAAAGAGCTTGGTAATAAACCAGCTTAATCTTCGGCCTCAAACAGCCACCTTGGTAAGCTCAAGCTTCGATGGTCGGCATATAAATATTGTGTCATTTTAGCCACAGCAGGGAGCAGAGGGGCTTGTGGATTGGGGGAACACTGTATATGGCTAATATAGCCACTCTTGGGGGTGGGGGGCTGCTTCTTCAGCTATTGTTGATGTGTGGGCTTGCTGCTGAGTTGTTTAATCCAATGCCATTAACTCCCAAAGTGGGAGACGCCTGAGAGCCCATGTTGTGACACGTGCATGTTTGTGCATAAATCTCTGTTCCCGTGTTTTGCTGAGTAAAGATTTATAAACACAATTGACCAGCAGCAGTCAGCAGGATTGCCTAACCCACTCCCCCCCCCCCAATCACTCCACCAGCACTTTCAGGATTTTTGTTTGTTTGTTTATTTATTTAATAAAAGGTGGGAAAGTCGTGAGTGCAGGAAGGAAGAGAGGAAGCGACGTAAGCAGGATCTGCCTGCATGTTGTAGGACTTTGCTGGAGTCAGCTCGGATCTCACTGCCGTTCTGTCTCCTGCCATTTCATTTTTGCCCCCTTTTTTCCCTCCTCCTCTCTCCCGAGGAACAAGAAACCAAGGACGGGACCAACGATAGCTCTAATGTACTGGATGAATTCCAGATCTTAGTTGAAAGCAATATGCTGGAGCGCGTAAGCCTATCTCGTTGGGTTGGTTGGCTGACATTTTGTCGGACTTTCTGTGAACCGCAGGCCGTATTTTAGCCTGCTGTCTGATGTTAACTTCCCAGGTCCTAAAGCCTTTGTTGCTGATAAGTCAAAGTGCTGATCTGGTTCGAATTTCTCTGCAGCTGGACATAATGTTTGCTTTCTTTCCAGGGTTTAAATTAATGGTTAACTGGTATAATTTGTTTAGATTAACCTTAGAAGAAAAGGTAGGGAATATGACTGCATTATCGCTGTGTGTGATAAGCTCTTTATACCGTTCTTTTATTAGGTTTCTGTTTTTTTTCTTCTTAACACACTCCTCAAGCTGGTAACAGGTTAACAGTATAATTTAGGACTTTTAATCCTTTTATTCCGTTATATGCGGAAGAGATGAAGCGCCCTAACGACTTGGCACCAGATCGTCAGAGTATAAGCAGAGTGCAAAGACTTGTCTGGCTCGATGAGAGCACCTCATGAACACCTAGTATGCCAGGAGAAGACGTGTGTTGAGTGTTGCTGAGCCACCTTGAAGATAAGGGAACAGTAGCAACAATGGTAATAGCATCTGGTATGATCATTTGTTTGGTTTTGGGATAAAGCTGTGGTTGATGGGGGTTGAGGGTTACAGAAGGGACACCGAATCCCATCACCCATCTGTCTTTGGTCCTTGCCTCTCATTCAACTGGGGTCTGGCGACTCGGCCAATCGGCACGCCATTTGCCTGCGTAGGAAACGGGCTCTGATAGAGGAGTTCCTCTTACTGCGTTTGCAGCGTGGCTTTGGATGTGGAAACCAGAAGGAGGATCAGTCACTAGCTTTGATGTTCATTTATGGTGATTAACAGTGACCTGTTAATCATTAAAATTCTGACATTTGGCTTATAGCGCACAATGGCTCATGTAGTCATTGTAAAAGTGAATAGAGGCCTTTGCTCTGGTTGCTGTCGTTAGTATGCACTTCAAGCAGGACTTTACTGGATGTTTTTCCCGGTACTCATAATTGGAGCATAAAAATGAGCTTGAGAATTCATAATGTTGCCATCTGCTTATTATCTCTAAAAGGTTTCAGTAAATGACTTCTTCTTATTCCCTGCGTCAATGTAAAGGCATTATTGACCCAAGTTATTCTTATAAATTGAAGTCCAGTAGCAGTCAGAAGTAATTTACAGCACAGCACGGAGCTCATGTCAATCTCACGGAAAATGCAATTACACACAAACGCACATAAAATGGACGCTTGTGTCGATCGCTCAGAGCTGTGAGGCTAGACAGAGGATATTATGGCTATAGGGAGTGGTTCCGCTGCAGATTTCCACAGATGTTTGACTCTGTTTCAGCCCTGGTTTTGGCCCCAGCTGAGTCCGTAATTAATTAGCTTTGATTCATTTGACGACTGGATGAATCGCTTAATATGAATCACATTAAGTGGTTGTTACACCATTTGTTGAGGCATGTGCTTTTGCAGTTGCGTTTCAGTCATTTTTAGCCCTCGAGCAATTAAATGCCTAAGGCTTTGTTTGTTTAAAGCATCGTTTGCCGCCGTCAAAAAAAAAATAAAACAAAAAGACGAATGGAAGTGTTTTGGTGAAGTGCCACATAATAGTTTTCTAAAAGCTTCTTTGTCGTCAGTGATAAATTGAAACCATTGAACATTGTGACATTT